AAACAGTATTTTAATATATAGTTGAGCCCAAAGAAAATATAAAACATTATTTTTATATTTACTTTTTTCAAGCTTGCAGTACCTGGGCTAAGGGCTTGGTTATTAAGTCCTGGTATGGCACTGTAGGTTAAGCACTGAGCTGATAATGGAAAGGTTGGCAATTCAAACCCACAAGCTGCTCCTCAGAAACCCTACAGGGTCCGTCATGAGTTGGAACCAATTCAATGATACATAAAACAACAATATTAAAATACGTTGTTTACTATACTCCATGCGAAATGTCATAATAAGTTTTAAATCCCTAGAGGATTCATGTTTCTTTACTTGAAAGGAATTCAACTATTAAATATTGAAGAATACTGTCCTTTTGTATTGTATCAATTATTTTTAATACAATACATTTACAAGCAGACCACAAATTATGAAGTTTCTTTTCCTAAGTCTGTCTTTAAATCCAATTTGTTTGTAAATAGTAAGTAGTGGTTAGGGATGGTTCATCTCTATCATCAGTTAATCAAATGCTTGTCTTACTAGAACCTATATTGTGGACGATTTCATGTTGTGGCTGTTAAGTGCCTTTGGAGTCAGTTCCTGCTCATATCCACCCTGTATAGAGTTTCCGAGGAGCAGCTGGTGGGTTTGAACCACCGACCTTGCACCTCAAACCGACCTTATGGGTCTAGTGCTTATCCTACAGCACCACACACTATGTATAAAAAACATTAAAGAAACACTTTCAGATATAGAAAACATCTTTAATATAATAATACAGTAAAACTGTTTTGATGTGTTACAAAGTAGTACCCATTTGTTATTATGAGCCATTGTATGTTTCTTGAATTTTTCATTAAGTAGGTTTTACATAAAGTAAGCAAGTTTTACAGGGACTGGCTGCATGTAAATTTGACTTTTATAATCCCAGGACAGCCTGTACTTTCTTAGCAAAGTAAGCTTGTTATTCTCATTTAAAGCCACCAGGGGGAGAAAATTAAGCACCCCAACCCCCTCCCCTAACTCCATATCCTCATCCCCAGCTCAGACTTAGTATCTATGAGCTTTTAAACTCATGCCTGGGTAGATCTTTTTACAGGTCTTCAAAATGCCAATGCAAGATACACCACCCTCTAATCCAAGAGGATATTTAGTTTCCAGAATTCTTATTAGGATCTAAATAAATAATTGCCATGGATTCAATCTTGACACATGGCAACTCCACGTGTATCAGAGTGGAATTGTGCGCTAGAATACAACAGAGTAGAGCATGATACACAGAAGGAATTAGAAGTCAGACTATTTGACTCTATCATTAAATCATTGTGCCTCCCTGTAGTGATCAGATTTCAAATCTGCAAAATGACAGGGTTGGATCAAATCAATTCAGAGGCTCATTACATTTAATTTTTCTATTGTTTTGCAAAATGTCAGAATCACCACAAGGGAAAAAAATAAACAAAATCCACTTTTGAGGTTTCTTTTAGAGTCAGATGCTTCACTGTTTCTTGTCCTAGAGTCAAACCAGATATAAAAAAAGATGGGAGACCATCTGACCTTATCTCTTGCATCATTTAAGGAGCCAGGAGTGCATTGGGCTAAGTATTGGGCAGCCAACCACAAAGTTGGTGGTTCAAACCCACCAGAGCCTCTGTGGGAGAAAGGGGAGGCTTGCATTATTCACTACCAAAAACATGAAAAAAACATTAATGCAGGCAAATGGATAAACAGAATTTTTTATCCATTTTTTTCTAGCTCTTTCCCTTTCTTCTAGCTCTCAATTGTGCAAGAGACTGCTTTACCACCACCTTCTGAGAGTGGGAAAACAATAAATGCTGGTGTACATGACTTACCATGGGGCTATTTCTCTGAGATACATGAGCTGAGAGATGCTTGACTTCTGATGGCTTAGCCTCATGGGGCCCTTGGCTTTGGCCAGTAACTGCAAGGCTTCCTGGATCTGAGTGGTTTAAAAATTGGAGAGGGTCTGACATGCTGAAGTTACAAGGGGCATGAAATAGACCTAGTAATGATGACCCAAGGTATTTTGACAGGGGCCATGATGGCTCTGATAACAAATACATTGCAACAACATAGAGCAGCAGGAGACCCTATGCATGAAGAAAGTCCATTGTACTGCAGAGCAGAGATGGATGCCTCATTGATTTGGCAGAGCCTCAAGAGGAGATTTCATGCAGGGACCTTGCTGGCTTTGTAGTTTCTTTTTAATTCTATCATTTTAATAAGAATCAATGTTATAAGTAATCAGTATTATACTTGTTATTCTGATTTAAGAAATATACATATTTTTGATTTTTATAGTTTGATAATCAGACATTTTAAAGCAGTTGAAACACTGCCAGTATAAAGTTGAGATCATAATCTAGCACCTGTTTTACTTTAATCACAAACAATAGCCTTTGAAATAACTGAACCATGATGTAGGAGCCATGGAGACTGCTAGGGTTATAGTTAAAAGCTTTGTAAGAGCTTGAGAAATTTTAATTTTTAGAAGTTAGTGATGTATGAAGTTAATTGAAAACATAATTTGTATTTGAGATTACAATTAGGAATTTAGATCTATGGGGAGTAGCAAGGAATAGAATGTTTAAACAAATCTTAAGAGTTTCAAAGAATAATGAATAGGAAGTTAAGGGTAACAAAGTCCTTGTAAAGGTTAATGTGACATTTTTAGAAAAATAAGGTTTAGTTACAGAAATCAAATATTGTCTAACTACGTAAAGCGGAACAAGGAAGATTTTGATATTCTTGATGTTCTATATTGAAATGATTAATATGTATGATTTAGACCACTACTTTGAAAAGAATGATTAATAGATTAATGGTGTAGAGTAGTATCAAAGCTGTTTGAGGATCTGAAATAAAAATAGAAGATTCACCATTCATTGAGACCCATTGATTCTGTGAGCTTCATTTCTTTGCCAATGCCACATCTCTCTCTAAGGAACCCCTAATAAGTGTGTGGAGGCTGATCCATGACAGTACTTCCCAAGGGAGTGTGCTTATAGCTGTTAGGAAGAGATGCTGGCATCAGCCCAGCACCAACAGTAATGTCTTCAGCAAGGTTTTTCACTGCACACCCTCACTGCATAGCCAGACCTCAAAAGGAACTGCCTGTAGAACCCATGCTGTTCGAAGACACGGTGTAGCTGGTTTCTAAAGAGAGTGTCAAAACACCGTTTAGATTGTAACTGGCTGAAATGGCTTACCAATATACAGATACACACTCATAGTGCCATATTTAAACAATTCTTGTTGATCTTTGGATACCTGACTTGCAAATCTCCTTCATTTTCAATTTTTCAATTTTACCAGTTCAATTCAACATGCTATCTTTTCAAGTAAATTTTAAAGAAATGAAAAGGCATCTTCCTATCAGTATGTTTTATTAAGGAATAAAATAGAGATTTCTTTTTTAGATCAGGGAATGTATCCTGTTAAAGACAGAAGGAAGGAAAGAAGGAAGGAAGGGAGAAATGCCATGTACAAGCTGTGCTGGAGGGTTGCATGTGTTTTCTTTTACTGGGTGGTATCTTCCAGAAAATCACAGTCCCAGAAAGACGGGGATTTTCATAAGAAAAAGGAAAAAAATAATTAAGAGTGTGTGATTTAACTAATGTGGAATAGAAAGTACAGGCTGTCGTCTGCCCCCAACCCCATCCTCCATTAGGAACAACTTCTGTTCCTAAACCCGTCTTTAAGTTTAATTTGTATTAAGTTAGATAGGTTAGGTATGATTTGTATCTAATGTCAGTCAAATGTTTGTCTTTGTATATAGTGTACCTTTCTATGCATAAAAAAAAAAAATGAAAGAAACAGTTACAGATACAGGAAAGCATTTTAAATGTAACAATACAGTGATAATGTTTTGATGTACACTGTGAAGTATTGCCCTTTTGTTGTTTTGAAATATTGTATGTGCCTTGGATTTTTTTTTTTTTTTTACTTTCTATTGTGAATTGAGGGAAGGTTTCCAGACAAGATCATCTGCTTTATATTAAACAAATTGTGCATTGGTCTCATCTCAATGATTACATTCCCCTTCATGCAACAACAGCTGTCCTGATTCCTCCCTGTGGTTCCCAATTGCATTCCACCTATCTTCCTGTCCCTAGGAAACTGCTGCCCTTTTGATTTTGATTGGTTAACTGTTTCATGGTGAGCATTCCTCACCAGTGCTGTTGCCCCTGCCTATGGGCCATGAGGGTGAGTTCTATTCCATATCTGAAGGGTGGTCCAGTCTCAGGTTCCTCCAGTCTTTATCTGATCAGTAAGCCCAGTCTTTTTTTTTTTTTTTAATAATTTTGAGTTTTGTTCCACATTTTCTCCCACTCTATCTGGGACCCTTTAATATGATCCCTATCATTGGCGTTGGTAGTGCTAATTGGGCACCATCTAGTTCTTCTGGTCTCAGAGTCATGGAGACTGATGTTCACATGTTCCATTAGTCCTTTGGACTAATTGATTGTTATCACTCAAGCCTCTTCAATTCTTTTCACTCTTCTTTCTTCTTCATGTGGAGAGACCAACTCCTGGGTTTTCAGGATCTTTGACACTACTCACCCATACAGGATGTAGAACATTGTCTTTGTGGACTATGTTATGCCAATTGACCATGGTGTCCCCGGAGACTATGGTTGTGAGCCCATAAATTCATTGCTTTAGGACATTGGATAACATTTAGGAAGTTTTCATCATTTTGCCTGCTGTAACCATGGTATTTTCAATAACCTCATATGCATGTGAAAGCTTTGACAGTGAATAAGGAAGATGGTAGAATTGATGCTTTTGAATTGTGGTGTTGGAGAATATTTAAAGTGCCATGAACTGCCAAAAGAACCAATAGATCCATTTTGGAAGAAGTGCAGCCAGAGTGCTCCTTGGAGGCCAGGATGGCCAAACTTCATCTCTCATACTTCGGACATATTGTCAAGAGGGACCAGTCACTGGAGAAGGATATCATGTTTGGTAAAGTGGAGGGTCAGAGAAAAAGAGGGAGAACCCCAATGAGATGGATTAACCAAGTGGCAGCATTGATGGACTCAAGCATGGCAACGGTAGTGAGGTCGGCCCAGGATCAGGCAGTGTTTCATTCTGCTGTTCATTGGCTCACTAAGAGTCAGTGCAGACTTGATGGCACCTAACAACAACAATGCTCCACCACATTTATAGTTGTGTTTGCAGGAAGGTAGATACTCATGTACAAATGTTCCCTTTCAAACTCCTACTCTTCCTTACCCATTCAGCCTGTCTCAATCCATGTATCTAAACACAGAATACTGTTGTTCCAAGGTTGTGTATATATGACTATTTACCTCTTTCCCCTTTAGCCCATGCATACCTTTCTGTGTCTTCACCTATCTTCATTATTCTTCTGCCATCCTCCTTCTTCTTGCATATTGGCCTCCCCATCACCGGAACTAATATGTGTCTACTCTCAAGTCAGTGAATTCTCCCCTCCTTTCCACCCCTGGTAACCATCAAAGAATATTTCTTTTAGTCAGGAAACCTTTTCTTAAGCTTTTACAATAATGGTTTCAAACAATATTTGTCCTTTGGTGATTGACTAATTTCACTCAGCATTCATGTCCTCCAGGTTCATCCAAGTTATGAGATGCTTTGCAGACTCATTATTCAACATTGTATTCCATTGTGTGTATGTACCAAAGTTTGTTTATCCATTCTTCCACTGTTGGACACTAATTTCTATTATGAATAGTGCTGCAATGAACATTGGTGTGCACGTGCCTTGGATTTTTAATATAACATGCTTTACAGAGGTTGGTTCCTAACTACAGGTTGTATATAAATAGAACGTTTGTAAACCAGGGACTGCCTGTGTAGAGCAGGACCCTGGCTTTCTTCATTTATTTTGCAACCTTTTTGAAATTCTTATATTAATTTATGCATTTATATAGAACATAGCTATTAAAGTGTAAATATCTCTAATGAAACTTTAGCCTCTTTTTCATTTTTATTATTTTATACCTAAGATCATTATTGGGAGTACTGATGTGGCTCTGTGGGCTAATGCGCTGACCACAAGGTCAGTGGTTCAAGCTCACCAGCCACTCCTTAGAACCCCTATACAGCATCATTATGGGTTGGAATTGACTCAACAGCACTTAACAACAACAACAACAAAGATCATTATTTTCACAATTGTTTGTCTAAAAACCAAAGAAGAGAATTAAAAATTGTAAGATGATTATTTTAAGAATTTGTTTTGAAACATACTATGAATGTGATAGAGCGTACAGCAGGCAAAATGATGAAAACTTCGTAGATATTATCAAACATCTGAAGGCAATGAGATGCTGGGCCTAGGGACTTAGGATCATAGTCTCAGGGGACACCATGGTAAAGTGGCATAACACAATCCACAAAAACAATGTTCTATAGCCTATTTTGGTGTCCCCTGAGACTATGATCTTAAAAAAAAAAAAAAAAAAAAGCCCACATTAATGTGGGATCTTAAAAACTCTTGAGTAGCCATCTAAGGGGCAACTACTGGTCTATTCATGTGTGAATGAAAGAAGAATGATGAGAATTGAAGGAGCTTGTAATCAATTAGTATAATGGAATTAATTAGTATAATGGACTAATGGAACATTAGTCTCCACGACTCTGATACCACTATCAATTGCTATGAAAGGGATCACATTAGAAGGCCTTGGATAGAGTAGGAGTAAATGAAACAAAATTCAAAATTACAAAAAAAAAGACTGGACTTGAAAGAGACTGAAGGAACCAGAGAAAATTACCACTATCCTACAGGTCTGGAAAGGAACTTACCTTCGGGGTCCAATTTTCAGCTAAGCAGTAGATAGGCATATACGGGGGTGGGGGTGGGGTGGGGGAACAACACTGGTAAGGTACACTCGCCACGGAATGCTCAATCATTCAAAATCCAAAGGGGAACATTTACCTAAGAACAAAGTTGAGAAAGGATGGGAAGGTGGAATGGAAATAG